CTTAGTATTTTGCTGTTTCTTGAGCGTCATTCTCTCGTGATGCTCATGCGCTTGATCGTTGATCGTTTAGCCAACTACTTTCCTCAGAACAGAGCTTCACAGTGTGTTCACGCCGCCGCCATCGTCTCTGCTGTCGTTGTCGCGCGCATCATCTTCAGGCTGAGTCACTGATCGTGTTTAAGTGCTCAATTTTACCTCTACCACGCCTTAGTCACTGGACCATGGGTCGCCGGCGTGTTTTGCTTCGCCATGCCACCGCACTCGCCACTGCTTGAGTTGTAGATCGTTGAGGGTTCGATTAAGGGTTCGGGTAGGTCCGTTAGAAGTTGCTGAGTACGCCGAAGACCTTTGTATTGCCGGGGAGGTCGTAGAACATCGGCGCCGTCTCGGTAGGACTCCACCGTGCCGCCATCGTCGATGACGAGGACGTTGTCGTAGCTTGGATGTGCAACCAGTACCGTGAATCGATGCGCATCGTTGGGGAGGTCGTGTTGGTGCACTCCTTACCACCGGCGACCACATCGCCGACGAGAACGCGCCGGTCAGAGCCGTCGCCGCCGTGGTCAGCGCAGCTGACGGGTGGGGTCACCCTGTCAGTGCCGGTTTGATTTGAAAATGAATTTTCTATTTTTCAGAAATGATGGAATAGTGCTGTAATTTGTTATTTTTGTGTAGATTTATTTAGACCTCCAAAAATTATGAAAATTTTTGTGTGACTTCTCTGTGATGTATTTTATTTAGGAAAAAATATGAAATGCTGATTTTCAGTACTTTTTGAATGTGATAAAAATTGCTCAATTAATTAATAAATGAGTTTCCATGATTTTTCTAGGCTTATTTATTTATCCAAAAATTATGAAAATTGTTTTGCCACTTAGTTATCATGTGATAAACCTTTATAAAAATTTTGAAGTCAATTGGAATAAGTTAATTTATTTCATAATTTTGGATTTAATAATTAATTCATAAAGCAAATAGTAATCTTTAATGATTTTGGTTTTGATTGAATTTTGGATTGTGTGATGACCTTGGGTCATTAGTTGGTAATGATCTTTGGCAATTGATGTTAGTAGTACGGAAAGGTTTAGTTGGTTTGACTTGTAACTGTACCGCGAAGAAAAGTTGTATTCAAGTTATTTAACTTATGCATCCATCATTGAGCATCATATTTTGTATCTCGCATCATGTTAAACATGGCATTGTTGCTACGTGTAGTGAATGAAGGTGAGCACGTGGTAGTTAATCAAGTGGTTGAGGAGGTTAATCCGTCTGTTGAGGTCGGGTTGGATAATTGTGGTGCGACTCCGGAACCGAACTTTTCTGTCAACGAAGGCAAGCCCCGGATGCATTTAAACCTATCTTGTGTTTTACAAAATTATTTCGCTTTTGCTTTTATATATTGCATTAAGTGATTAGAAGTCTAGTGGAAACCTAATTGATGCATTATCAACCTTATTTTTCTATATCTACCTTGTTACCAGTTTTAATTCGTATATGCCTAGTTTTGCTTAGCTATGCTTAGAACGATGAAAATCGGGTGATTACCTGTCACCTGCGAATTTTAAATGGATCTTTGATTACGCTTGGTTATTTATGTTATCATGTGATATGAGCATATGGAGTAATAAATCTAGACCGGGCGGACTCGGTGTGTGTGAGCTGCAAGACATGGAGGTCTTGTGAGCGGGTTCTTTCCGCCTGTGTCGATTAAGGCCCGTACCGTTGTTGAATTGCATGAGGTGAGACTTTGTAGTACTAACCACATACTCCGGTAAGCCTTAACTGGGCTATTCTATTACGAGAATGGCTACTCACGCACTGGGAGTGGAGAGATGACAGGAATAGCGTGTACCCATATGGCAATGGGCTGAATTGGTGGAGTACTGTATTCTCGGGTGGCGCAGACCTGTTCTTGTTTTAGAGGATCCGAGGATAGGTTGATATATGTAAGTCGGGGACCTACATATGTCGTGTGGTCTGGAATCCCCAGCTGGGTTTTAATCGGTTCGAATCGTCGTTGCTCCTCGGTTATGGAGACTCAACTCATTGTTCATCATCGTAGTATTAATAACTAGAACTTGAGGCTGGTTTGAGAAAGTGTTGGATATGAAGTTTCATGATCTCAATGCGGATCGTGTCAGCTTTGTATATGATCTTGTGAAGTTTTAAATGTTGATATAAAGAATTTTGTTAAAGAGCTTTTACGCAAAAGAACTTTGATTATTGCTAAAGCCATACCTAGAATCCCATGAGCCTGCATTCCTGCGTTCTATTAATTCTTATTTTGCTTAAGTCTTGTTGAGTACTTTTGTACTCAGGGTTCGTTGACCCTTGTTGCAGGTGAGGCTCATAAGCAGATCTGTTTTGGATCGTGCTGCATGACTGTTGTTCAGTGCGATGACGATATGTAAATGTGTGGCCCTTGGGCAGGACAACTTATTTGTGTGTTCTGTAATATGTTATAATGCCACTCCACTACTACGTTTTGTAATATTAACCGAACTTAGTTGTATGGTTTGAAACAAATGGTTTGTAAACTATGTTATTGTAAGTCTTCCGCTAATCTTTACTCTAATGTATATATTTGAATAAACTGTTGTATACTGCAATGACTCTGTAATGGGATCCTGCTCGGAAAGAAATCGTGGATGATTCGGGGTTCTCCGAGGACACCCGACAGTCTTCTTAGGTTACCGGGAATATATGCATAGATGTCAAAGGTCGTTGGACAGTGACAGGTGCATGTGGGCCCTATAATTTAGGAGGTTCTGCAATAGGGTACCTCACGAACCGGCTTCCCCGCAAAGGCTCGGCCCAAGCAGACAGCGCGCAACTCATGGGTTGGCCCGAATACCTGAGCGACAGGCCAGAGGAGCGATCCAATCTCCGACCAGAAGACCAGGCCGAGGAGGAGCAGCGCCTGTTTTCCGACTCCGGCCCACCTCTCCGACCGGAGCGCTCGCTTCGGTCTCCAGCCCGCCTCCGAATGGCCTCTCCGACCGGAAGGCCTAGCCAAAAACATCGCTTCCGACTGCGACCTCGCGCTCTCTGACTGGGGATACGCTAAGCCCCTGCTCACTGCTCTTCTCTGACTGGCGCGACCAGAGCCGACTGGGACCAACCGACCAGGGACACCCGCTCGATAAGGACCAGGAAACATCCGGAGAAAGTAAGGCATGGTGCACAAGTCAAAACCGCAATACGGGGACCATTCCCTGCGCACCTGCCAGGTAGTACCCTGCGACCATCCCTGGCACAACAGAGCCCAAATAGTGTTGTAGGCGCCGACCTTTTCCCTACAGTAATGAGGGCGCCATTAACTCCCATAGGGTAAGGCACCCCCACATGCCTCTGGGCATCGACAGTGTTGTGGGCGCCGGCATTTACCGTACCGAGTGAACATGGTAAAATTACTCACATACCTCTAAGCATCAACAGTATAGCAGGTACCGACATCTGCCATATCCAAACAAGACGACGCAACCTCCCATGTGCCTCCGACACTCAATAGTATTATGGGCGCCTACCATTGTCCTGTACCCGCTGTCGTGGGCAAACAAGGCTCAGTAGCATACGTACTCTCTCCCTCTTACTTGTAAAGCCATCCCCTTTATCTATAAAAGGGGATGCACCCTCTCCCAAAGGGGACAGTTAACCCAGGTTGATTCAAGCTCTCTAAGTCATTCCAGATTAGTTTGATCGATCAAGTTCACTAGTACACAACCACAGAACCGCCAGGTTCGAACCACAAGCATGCGCTTGAACACTTAGCTCATAGCGGGGCTCCTGTCACTTTCGGACCCTCTGACTAGAGTCCGACTGTACCTCTTGTACCCCCATCTCTCTCCTTCTCGTTTGTAACTCCACTGCAAACTTTGAGCACCTGAGCTCAGGAATAAAGTCACCGACCGACTCAAACTGGACGTAGGGCACGTTGCCTGAACCAGTATAAATCCTGTGTCATTGAGTGCTAGGCCACCTCCGATCACAACGTACGGCAAAACTACAAATATTCACTTGTTGGTCACTTTCTGCACCGACAGTATGACTCATAGATTCGACAACGACATCCATTACTCCATTCTTTTACCAACAAGTATCAAATGTCACCCTCACATTAGATTGTACTCCTAACTTGATCATTGTGCTGATACTGAGCATAATTACCTTGATATTTGTATATACTTTTCTGTGGGGCAATTTTGCTTACCAACATACAATGCTTTAGTTTGCAAGTATTTTCACAGTGTAAATTTGCAATTATTATAGCTTGCAAAGTTTACATGTATAGAACGCATGCCATTATTTTCTTGGCTAGTTTGCTTGATTTATGGATTGAGCTGGCAATATGTTGATCTGCTTTCCTTTTGCTGGTGAGTGGTAACAATGGTTCTTGTAAAAATTTATGCTGGTATTACAGTTTTCCCATTTTACCTACAAATAGATTATGTTGTTTCAGTTAGTTTTTAAATTATTACAGTAAACATGATTCATTCTTTCATGCCCATGCTTTCCGGCACTTATATAGATTCTGTGCTTTGCTGATTTTTTGATATATAAATTAGAAACACTGATTTGTTGATTGCTAAATATTCGTGGGTCGCTAAATGTTTGTGCATGTTTAACTTTAAAATTGCAAATTATTATCTGCATATGTGAACATCCTTTGAACTGGGTGGTGTCATGTCATTTTTCCATCTTAGGTCATGTTGCTTGATTACTGTGCAGATCTGAAATGTTTTGCTACCCTTGTTCTATGTGAGACTGTATCCTATGTTTCAACAACATAACTGTCATTTCTGTAAGTTTTGAAAATTTCTGTTGAATGTAACGTATCATGAGATCTACTGGATACACTATCTATACGTACTAAACCGTGTTCCAAATTTTTGTACTGGATTGTACCTCCTACTGTTCCTGCATTTTTTATCGTTTGACTTCACAATGACCTCTACATTGCTGCTGTAGAGACTACAACGACGATTCATCCGCTGGGGCACATGGCTACCCACACTGGCAACATCGTCGACTTCGTCGTGCTCTCCACCCGCAGCCAGGCAGTACCACCTCCGGGGAAAACGCCGCAAGCGGTTTGGAAAGGCAAGTTCTCTTTTTAGTCTCCCACTCTCATCTTTGCGTACTAGAACTACCCTCTGTATGACATAAGATATGCATCCATGTACTAACTTCGCCATCACTGGAACCCATGCAGGAAAGTAGCCAACCCGCTCATGACAAGTTCAGACGTCCCCAATGCTGTGAGCAACTAATCACGATTTTGGGACGCACCCCACGTGACAGGGGCGAGTTGGTATCGGCGGGGGGGGGGGGGCATCAACCTGATAGTACACCCAGTAGTGGAAGCCCTCTTACTCCTCCGGCCTTGTCGGACGAGCCGGTCCTACCACGTAGTGGCGCTCAGCCCTCGAAGAGAGTCCATAGGGAACATTCTATTAACAGTCATCACAGTAAGAAGAGTAGCAAGACTCCATCCATTGACGACTGCCTTGATGACCTAAGCCACATTATCAGGGAGGCTAGGTCCTCGAAGGCCCGTCAGGCCACAGATGCTGAGGAGTTATCCCAAGTCAATCAGATTCTGAAGCAAGATGGTTACAGCGAGAGTGATGTAGTATTCGCGCAAGCCCTTAACCTTTGCAACAACAGGCTCCGTCGTCGGGCTTTTCTGGATTTGGAAACTAAAGACGGCCGGCTGAACTGGGTCAATGTGTCGTGGGACTTCGTGTGCTCCACGAAGTCCCAGTGATCAGCACAATTATTCGTACTGCTGTTTTTTCTATTGTTTCTGTTTTTCACCATGTGCATGTTGAGTTGATTCTATTCGTTGTTTCATTATGTTCGTTTTGTTTGTTGTAATAAAGACCATTGTGGAGAACTAGGTGCATGTCGTTATCTCGTTTTTGAATAAAATATATGTGTCGTGTTGTGAGCGTTGTAAGACCTTATGCATGGATCACTTTTCTGTTGTTCATGCCTTACCTACATTTGTCTAAGGTGGTCGTGCCAACTACCTAGTTGAGGTAACTTGACATGTTCACTTATCAGCAAATGTTATGTTCCCAATATATGCATCAGCATCTTACTGATTTGTGCCCATTTGCAGGTAGCACAATGAGCAGCACTGACGAGTCATCGACCAGCAACAATTCCAGTGATGGACCGAGCAAGGTGATCTTGGCGAAGGCAGCAGTCGTGCTGCGGAGGTTGAAAGGTATTATGGCACAACAAATGCCTGAGGTAAATCCTCCTTCTCCCATTCCTAAACTATCCGGAGCCCAATGGATGCAACTTACCCTTGCCGACCAAACCAAATGTATAGACAATTTGCGCATGACGCGTGATGCCTTCATGCATTTGCATGATGCCCTGCTTCCTTTCGGTCATGTTGTTACTAATTTTTAGTTGGCAGTGCTTAAATATAGCCTTGTGTATGATAATGCTTGCATAGGTTACAAGGACCTTGATTGCTTATTGTTTGTTCTGATCATGTACTGCCTGAGATGATTGGATGAAATGCTAATGATTCAACAGTTGCCACTTTCCCACTCCTTGTGTATGACAATAGTTGCGTAGGTTACCATGAATATAAGTATTACTGGTGGTGCAACGGTATTGTTGTGTATGCTAAGCACATGCTGGTACACAGTAGCTAATGCAATTGGATTGGTTATTTGTGCAAATAGGTCAAGACTGTGGTCTTGTTGGAATGGTTTGATCTAAATTTGTACACTATCCAGTTGTGCAGTAATATATGTGTGGTGAAGATTATTCTATTGATACCTAGATGTTGGTACCTTTTGGCTCAGTATAAATTAGTTTGATGCAACTGGTACTACATATTTTTTGCCATATTCATAGTCCAGAGTTGTCTTTAGGTGTTTCTGTTGTGAGTACAAACCACAATGGCATCTGTTGTGTTGTATTTCCTCATCCAGTAGGACTAATTGGTCATATGTTGTCATTTCTTGTAGGCTGATACTACCTGGCGAACACGGGTTACATGGACATGCAAGGTTACATGACTCCCTTCAAAAACACAAGGTATCATATGAACGATTTTAGGGGCGTAGATTTGCATCGGTTGCAGCGGGAGGAAAAATTCAACTACATTCATGCGAAGCTGCGAAATGTCATCGAAAGGAGGTTTGGGGGCTTGAAAGAACGTTGGTATATTCTAAAAGGGGTGTCGTACTGCCACAGGAAGAAGCAGGCTATGATAATCATTTCATGCTTTGCATTAGAAAATTACTTGTGGCTGCTTAAGTACGGAGCCGATGCACCTTCGTATGAGCTATCAGAGTGGGTTGAGCTAAATCAGGGAACCCAAACCTCTATAGTTAGGGAGTTGATATATACGGTTGTGTGGAATGGTATCTGATTTAGGAAAGTTGTGGTAATGCAGCTACTTTAGTAATTCAATTTGAATTAGGTAGTTACGGATTTGTTTATGAGTGACAATGGTGAAAGCTCTAGTTTGGTTTTGGTGAATTGATGAAACCCTTAGTGCTAACCTAGTTCATCAAAGTGATTATGAGATAGGTAGCACTACTCCAAGTGATGAAGAAAATGAAGATCATGGCATGATGATGATAATTCCATGGTGGTGATCAAGTGCTTGACTTGGAAAAGAAGAAAGAAAAACAAAAGGCTTAAGGCAAAGGTATAAGTGGTAGGAGCCATTTTGTTTTGATGATCAAGACACTTTGCAAGTGTGATCACATTTAGGTTCGATAGCCGTACTATTAAGAGGGGGTGAAACTCGTATCGAAATGCGGTTATCAAAGTGCCACTAGATGCTCTAACTCTTTGCTTATGCATTTAGGATCTAGTAGAGTGCTAACACCCTTGAAAACATTTATGAAAATATGCTAACACATATGCACAAGGTGATACACTTGGTGGTTGGCACATTTGAGCAAGGGTTCGAAACTTCACCGGCGGAGTGTCCGCCCGTAGAGTGCGGACAGTCCGACGGTGCCACCGACGCCCTGTATAGAAAAGACAGGGTTTCACAGAGTGCATCGGACGTTGGCCTCAACTGGATCAGAGCGTCCAATCAGTGGAAGCAATGAAGACACTATCGCCGGTCTTTGACCGGACGCTGGCTGGGTGCATTCGGTCCCGCTGACGTGGCCGCACAGAGGAGACATTGTGTGACCGGACGCTGGGTGAGTCCGGTCGGGCACTTCGAGCAGCGCATCCGTTCACAACTTAAATGTACTGATGATCGTTGAGATCAGGCGATCAGCATTTGAAACAGGGAACACATGGCATGCATCACGCGACTGGACGCTGGGGTCCTATGTCCGATCGATCTGACCGGCGCGTCCGATCACCCCGAGCAGTGCCTAGTGAAGGGGTACAACGACTCTATTTTATGGGGGCTTCTATTTAAGCCCCATTGCCGGTTCAAGCTCACTCTCTTGGCCATTTGCATTGACATAGCAACCTTGTGAGCTTAGCCAAAGCCCTCCCACTCATCTCCATCATTGATTTATCATCTTTGTGAGATTGGGAGTGAATCCAAGTACATTGCTTGAGTGTTTGTATCTAGAGGCACTTGGTGTTCGTGTTTGGCTACAGGATTCGCTTGTTACTCTTGGTGGTTGCCGCCACCTAGACGGCTTGGAGCAACGAGGATCGTCGAGCGGAGGTTGGTGATTGTCTCTGGCTCCGATCGTGGTGATTGTGAGGGGTTCTTGACCTTTCCCCGGCGAAGAGCCAAAAGATACTTTAGTAAATTGTTCGTGGCTTGTGTGATCCTCATCTTGTGTTGGTTGTGCGGCACCCTATTGTGGGTTTAGCGTGTGATGCCAATTAACGCGTGAACCTCCAAGTGAATGAATCACCACAACGAGGACTAGCTTGCCGACAAGCAAGTGAACATCGGTAAAAAATTATTGTGTCAACATTTGATTCCGAGGTGATTGGTCTTCATTGATATTGATTCTTGTGATTGATTGGTTCATTCCTCGACTCGGCGATATAACCATCTTGCTCTCTCTTTACTTTAGCGCAAACTAGTTATCAAGCTCTTTAGTGTAGCTAGTTGTGAGAGCTTGTTAGTTTGGTAAGTGTGGCTCTTTAGTTAGCCTTTGAGAGCACATTAACTTAGTATAGTGGCATAGCCATTGTGTGGTTAGAAACTATAGAAACTAAAATTGTAGTAGGTGGCTTGCATTTTTAGTAGGCTAGCGCAACATTTGCTTCGCCTCATAATTGTCTAACCGGTTTGTTAAGTGTTGTTGTAGAAATTTTTAATAGGCTATTCACCCCCCTCTAGCCATTTAGACCTTTCAAATGGGTACTGATCGCAGGAGTAGCTCGAAGGCGGACGGTGTATGTGCACCTGCAGGTTGCAGGTATGCGTGCATTTTGGTTAGTGGGATCATGAAGGCCACAATGTTTGTGCTGCATATATGGCTTTTGTGGTATTTGTAGTGTATGATCTTTGTGTTGTATGGATGGAACAAATGGACTGTGAATTGTTGGTTGAATGTATGGAGTTCTGAAGGTTGTCTACCTATTAGGTAGGATGAACAAGGCTGAAACTTGTTGTTGCATGTATAAGGATGTAATGTCAACCTTATGTTTTGTAAACAATTCTGGATTGCAGTTGTGTTGTAAACTGTTAGGTAATTCAACTGCTAGGTAATTGTAACTGTTAGGTATTTGTAGTTTTTGACTGTATAAAGGTATGTGCACCTGTAATTTGATTAACTGTGAATTGTGGATTGCAAATGTGTTGTAAACAACCTTATGTGCATTGTGGTTTGGCGCCATTATATGAAAACCACCTGTTATTGGCGCCAATAATCAGTTTGAATTTGAAATTGTGAAATCAACCATTTTAAACCAGCTGGGAATGGCTGGCGACTGGAATTGGTTGGCTGGGCTGGCTGGTCCAGCCCCAGCTCTAGACAGCCAATTCAGGGCTGCCGAACAGGTCGGAAGTAAAATAAGCACTGCCAAGGACCACTCGAAAGGTCTGGTGTTTCACATAAAGAGTCATCCGAGAAAAAGTTTGCACTCGGTAGAAGACAGGCAGCGTCCAATCACTTATCGGAAATGTCTGGTGATATAGAGGACAGGGCACCGGAGCTTAAGCTCGAAGAAGACTCCTCTGCAGAAGGGTTCACCGGAGCTACCACCAAAATTCTATGATGATGCTGCTAGGGACAGAGCACCGACCTGAAGCTTGACCTAATAAGAAGTTTAAGACTATCTTATTATTCACACTAGTGATGTTCTAAGAAGGTTAGTGGGCCATTCAGGAGTGGATCAAGCACGACACACACCGTGAGCCGTGCCACACACATACTCTTGAGTGATTTGGATTGTGTTGTGGCCGATGCCTTGCGGACGCATGACGACATTGGTACAGATAGACTCGCCTTAAAATTGTCCGAAAGGTCCAGACGTGGGCGGTGATTCACAGATTCAGGCTGCCTCCTCAACGCGCTTCGGCTTTGGACCTTCCAGGAAAGTGCCGGCGGCAGCAAGGAAACTTGCACCGAGATTCGCACCGGCCGGCCGCGCGGCCTCTCCGTCGGCCTTCCACGTGGCTCAGCCGCGGCGCGATGCCTGGCCGAGGCAGTCGCCACGAAGACCCGTACCCGTCTCGCAGTTGCTCTCACGTTCACGTACGACTCCGCACGGCAAGCGAGAAAAAAGTCGGTGCCTTTACCGCAGCGTGTCAATAGCGCGTGGTGGTCGCCAGTGTGCCTGTACCAGCGGCCTATTAAT